GGAAGTCCTGTCATTTGTGACAACATGAAGGGACCCGGAGAAAATTATGCTAAGTGAAATAAGCCAGGCACACAAAGACAAATACTACATGATCTTGTTTTAGATGTGGAATCTAAAAAATTTGAACACATAGAAACAGAGAGTAGAATGGTGGTTGTAAGAGAAGGGAGATGGGGAGAAATGGGGAGTAGCTATTCAGCATGCTTAAAGTTTCAGCTATGAAGAATGAATAAGTTTGCTGTACAAAATTGTGCCTATAATTAACAAGACTATATTGTACACTTAAAAATTAAGAGGGTAGATGTCATGATATTAACACAATGAAAAGAAGTTCAGTAACTTAAATGGAATAAATTTGGCTTTTAGATAAACTTACAATATTGTGTGTTTGCATTTCTGGTTTACTTGTTTACCTTTCTGTAAATTATAAAACTTAACCATGTACCTGTAGTTGCTAATCCCGCCTAATGCTATGTTCTTCCCATACCAAAAGATAGAAAAACTAGTAGCTTTGTGGAAATCTGAAACAGGAGATGACTGTAGGTTCCAGAAGAAGAAATGTTAACTTATTATCCTGAAATACAATTTACAGCCTTGCTATACTGTTAAGATATTCTGGGTATAGCAGCAGCCAAAAGACCCACTTGGCAGTGAGTAAATTCACGTAGCTCTTTTAGAGCAAAGACATTGGTAACCCATTGAGCAAAGACAGAGTCATAAGAAATGACTTGTTCTAAAATGGTCTCTAGAACTATAAAAATAAGACAGTCCTCCCATGCATCTGCCCATGTGGAAAGACTGTTCATGTCTCTCAGATTTTTAACCTTACCCGTATACAAGGCAAACAACTCCATTAGTAGTGTTATCTGTGAATGCAAACTACAACAATACATTATATATGTTCACTAACATATTTGTTGAATTTTAAAGTATTCAGCAATGCAAAAACTGGAGTGAGGCTGTTGTTTATAACATATATCATGAAATGAAGAACAGATGATCTAAGAATGAACATTTGTTGGAATGATCTCTCTGGGCTTAAATATTTATTTTACTTCCTCCACCCCCTTCCTTTTTTGACAAATTACTATGTTTTCCAAAATCTGCACTATGAAACCATGGAAAGTTTAAGACAAAACCACCTCAAATTGCTACCATAAATTATTACCTCCTACATAGTCTTTTTTTCTGCACTGTGCAATTAATCAAGGAAACAACTTATGCTTTTTAATTAAGAAGCTGGTTCTAAGAGTTTTATTTTAGGTGTGAGAAGTAATGTTCATTTCTGGGGAAAAGAATACATGGCTGCCCTATAAAATGTAATGTATTTTCATTTCTGTACCCAAGGTGTAGTATATGATCTCAGGAAAGGAAGCCCTTTGCCTTATTCCTCAGGGAAAGTGGGAACTCAGCTATTAAAGTTCAAGATTTTGAAGAAAGTCTTGAAGGAAACAATGTCTCAATGGATAGTTCACACAGAATATTTTTGGGAGAGACACTTAAGAGTTGTCGAGAACCAAGATGCAGACCTCATTAGAGATGATAAAGAAGATGTTTTTCTCTGTTAGCTTCTGCAGGCCATGGTGAAGGTCCCATTGCCGATTTTATAGGTTTCCTAGGTTTTTGTTTGCTCAGATAAATTATTTCACCCAAAGCTCACATATCCTAGGAGTGCAATGATTCATCTGTTTATTCATCCATCTATCCATTCATACATCCACTCACCCGTCCATCCAGCCATCTTCTGGATAAACAGTAAGTATTTATTGAACACTTACTGAATGTATGACAAGGTCCTGAAAATTCAGATAGGAATGAGATGATCTCTTCCACTGAAAAGCTCATGTCTCAGTACAGAGTACAAAATAACATTTCTTCACTCCTTAAATCATCTTTCTAGAACTGGATCATGTCAAGACGCTTTAAAAAGTCTGCATTGCTATCAGAATAAAATTAGTCAGTGGGCAGTTTGAGATATCTGATTTTGTTTCCAATTACTCTCGTAACATCATTGCATACCAAATTTTTTCTTAAGGCCCACACTTTGGCCCAGTCAACTTTCCACTCATTACACAATTTGTCCTTGCATTTTTCTTTCTCCTTAACCTTATCCATGCTGTTGCTAGTCCTAAACGGCCTTTCTCTAACTCCAGGGCCCAGATCAAATTCTACCTATTTCAGGAAATTGTATTATTTTTTATAAACTAACAGTATGTTGTACTGCTACCAAGGGGCTCCAACCTCAGTCTTCTACAACAGATTTTCAGAATTACCTTTCTAAAGCACAAACTTGATCCTATCACTCCTGTGTTTAAAAGCAATTAACAACTCGTCTCTCTGGCCTTAAGATAAAGCTCCAGTTCTTCGGCATGGCATTCAAGATGCTTGACAGCTAGCTCTAGTGGTGTCTCACTGCTATTCTGCCCCAGCTGTGCTGAATCATGTGAAGTTTCATGAGCACACGTCCTTCTGCGTGTGTAGTCCTTTGTAAAATTACTTTCTTTTCCTGAAATATACTCATTTACCTTTTTCTACCTGACAGCCTCCTGATCTTCTTGCAGGTCGCAATTTTGATGTCACTCCCTCCAGGAAACCTTCTGGATCCCCCAAGACTGGATCAGGTGTCTCTGACATGTTCACACAGTGTCTTCTGTTTCCTCTAGCAAGGCACAGCAGGTGTCTTCCTATGTTCACATGCAATGTATACTAGCAATAGGTATCTAATAAATGTTTGTTTAGTGAGGAATATTGAGTTGAGCCACTGTGATTTCCCTCGGGAAATGCAGAGCTTGCTATTCAAGATTATGGTTTACCATGTGGTCAAGCTGCACGTGGTACCTGGAGAGAAGCAGATGAGAACTGAAGCTAAATATTCCTACCTCAATATGCATAGCCCAAATTTTCTCATGCAACTTGATTTGGAGCATAGTTTTTCTGGGGTAAGAATAACAATTCTCTGTCTAAAAATACCATGGGTATAGATTCAATGAGCCAAAAAGGAGCTACAAAAACAATTAATGCTTGGGGCCCAAGCAGTTCTTTTTTGATTTAGTTTGTCCTTGTGAGTGAGGTGTGTTTCTCTTTATATCCCAAGAAACTGCCAAACTCTAGGTTCATCAACAGAACACTTCCTTAGTAGCTGTGCAAACAGGGGGCATAGTTCTGGGGACAGGGTCATTTCTGTAGGATATTCAGGTTTCAATAGTTACTGCTGAAGTAAATCATGAGAGCCATGATCAGCAGATAAGCCTCTTTGGAAGGTAAAGCTGTGGAGCTCTACACAGGATGTTTGACTCACAAACCAGAATTTAAAAACCTGGGATCTTGCATAATTTGTGCATATGAATGGAGAAGGGGACACTATTACTATTCTAGAAATGTGGAGATTTGGGTCATTGTACATTGAATTTTAACAGGAATGCAGCTAAATTTTGTAATCACAGTTTGAGAAGGACTGGGGACTTCTGGGTTGTTTACCATTAATTAAGCCATACCAAATTGTTCCTTGTTTTTAAAATAATTAACAGATTGCCCATTTAAAAAGTGAGTTAATGTAAAACTATAAAGCATAGGACCTTAAGAAATTACAGATTGATTTCTCTGTGTCCAAACACGTCCCCATTGAAGGAATTGTTTGCTGGATTTCTAAAAATCTTCAGAGAGGACGATTCTTTAATTTCTTTTGGTAACTAGTTCTTTTGTCTTCCTTGAAGTCATTTAGTTTACTTTTATAATAGTCCCTCTTGCAGCAAAAACAAAAATCTTACTTTGTTTTCATGGTCTTGACTTAAAACAATAGCTTTTGGTTAGTGGGCTGTGATAAATGAAACAAACTTTCAATTATTAGTGCTAATGGGCTGGGCAAATGCAGAGAGCATAAATAAATGAAACCTAACATATTCTCCAAACTTCATTTTAGCCATTAATTTTGACTTTTTCTCCCACAAACCTTTTGAAGAGTCTACTAAAAAGCAACAAGCTGATTTGAATTTCATGCTTTTCTTTTCCACTTGCTTATTCCCTGGTTGAAGTGCGAATGATCATTGAGGTGCCCAAAGGAGAAGGAGATGGTGGGAGTTGGAGAAGACAGAGATGTGGATATGGGAGGCTACCTTCATGCATTTATAAAAGCTTTAGGTTTTTGGCTTACTAATCTGCGTATTGCTCTGTGACTTCATTTAGCAATGTGAATTGTAAAGTCATTGTGCATGCATGTCATTTTGGATGTGCAAAATGTACACTTTCAAACAGTATTCTGCATTGAGCAATGGAAATGTAGTTAGTTTGAGCTCAAAATTGATGAGTAATTTGACAATTAAGTGCTACAAATGAAATTTAACTTGCTGTCTTGTAAAAATGGGACAATAAAATAATAGATGCTCCCTAGTGATTAAAAATGCAGCCAATTAAAAGCATGTAAATTTACATAAATGGAAGAACCTTAAATTTTGCATTTCCTGACTGATAGGATTAAACTTCCAAAGAAAGTGTGAATTAATGCAAATGTTAACATGGCATCTCCTAAATCCTTTTCTACTTTTACCACCAAGAACAGAATATAGAAAAGTAAAAATACATAATGATAGGCCAGTCTCTGCTTGTTTTGTCATTTACCCAAAGAATATCAAGCATGCTTAGATATCTTGGAGAACTTAGGAAGATTTCAGGTAGCAAACATAAGGCCACAAGGCAGAGTCTGTAACCCTTAACAGAATTGTTCTTTGTTGAGAATATGATTAGAGGAATAGTCGTTGATAAGTCTATGACTTTTGGGCTTATTTCTTAAAAAGCTCTTTATGTAGCTGAGTTCCAAGGTGCTATGGCTCTCTAAAATTCATGTTGAAATTTAACGACCATGTAACAGTGTTGGGAGGTGGAACTTTTAAGAGGTTATTAGATCATAAGGGCTCTGCTCTCATGAATGGATTAATGCCATTATTTCAAGAGTGAGTTTCTGATAAAAAGGATGAGTGTTATCCCCTTTCTCTCTCTGTCTGTAGTGCTCTCATCCTCTATCTCCATGTGGAGACCTTCACCCTCACGAGATGAGGCCCCTTGATTTTGGACTTCAGTCTCCAGAACTGTGAGCCAAATAAACTTCTCTGTTCTTTATAAGTTACCCAGGCTGTGCAATTATGTTATAGCAGCAAAAAACCAAAAACAAACATTTCAATGTCTGTGTTGCTATATGCATCTATGTTCATGTACATATGTATGTTCATGTACATATGTATGTGCCTATGTAGGTAAGTATATATAAGTATGAATGTGTGTCTACACACATATATTCATATACTCACATAAATATACATATGCAAGAAGACATAGATACACATATATACATCTGCATATATATCTTTATATGTGTCACTTTATAAAAGGGATACAGTCTGAAAAATGCATTATTGGGTTATCTTGCCATTGCATAAACATCACAGAGTATATTCACACAGACCTAGATGGTATAGCCTTCCACACACCTAAGCTGTATAGTATAGCCTATTGCTTCCAGGCTACAACATATACAGCATATTACTGTACTGAATACTGTAGGCAATTGTAACACAGTTGTATTTATGTAACAAGGAAGGGAGCATCTCACATTGAGGCCTGTGGGTGGGAGGACTGGGGGGGGATGGGGGTAGGGAGTTGGGGAGGGATAACATGGGGAGAAATTCCAGATATAGGTGATGGGGATGGAGGCAGCAAACCACATTGCCATGTATGTGCCTATGCAACAATCCTGCATGTTCTTTACATGTACCCCAGAACATAAAATGCAATTATATATATATATATATAATTGCATATATATATATGAAATTATATATATAATATATATATATTTTATATATATATATGAACTTCCTGAGGGAAATGAAAATATACTATCTTTTTGATTTGTCAAAAAAAATCTAAACATAGAAAAAGCACGGTAAAAATATGGTAAAAAAGATAAAAATGGTAGACTTATATAGGGCATTTGCTATGAATGGAGCTTGCAGAGTGGAGGTTGCTCTGGGTGAGCAGTGGGTGAGTGGTGAGTGAATGTGACATTGTTGTACACTACTGCAGATTTTACAAACACTGTACACTTAGACTACATAGATTTAGATAAAAATTTTCTTTCTTCAAGAATAAGTTAACTTTACCTTACTGTAATTTTTTAATTTTATAAACTTTAAAACTTTTTAAAAACATTGAGTCATTTGTGATAACACTTAGCCTAAAACACAAACACATGGTACAGCTATACAAAATATTTTATTTCTTTATATCTTATTCTATAAGCTTCTTTTCTGTTAAATTTCTTTAAATTCCTTTGTCAAAAAAGAACACACAAACACGTACACTAGGCCTACACAGGGTCATAGTCATCAATATCACTGTCTTCCACCTCCACATCTTGTCCCCCGGGGAAGGTCTTCAGGGGCAATGACAGCATGGAACGGCCATCTTCTATGATAGCAATGCCTTCTTCTGGAATATCTCCTGAAGGAAATGCCCGTGGCTCTTTTATAGCTAACTTTTTCTTTATAAATAGGTATACACTCTAAAACAATGATTAAAAGTATAATATAGTAAATACATAAACCAATAGCATAGTCCTTTACCATAATCAAATGGTGTGTTCTGCACATAATTGTGCTAGATTTCTATACAACTGGCAGTGTAGTAAGTTTGTTCACATCAGCATCACTACAAACAGATGAATACTGTGTTGTTCTGTGGCAGACATTATGACAGCTAATAGGTGATAGGAATTTTTCAGCTCCATCATAATCTTATGAGATCACTATCAGGTATCTAACCATTGACCATATCGTTGTTATGCAGTACATGAGTGTATATAGCAGGGACCTAATTTCGTGAGACAGAACCATGAATTTCAGACTCTCTGATAGGAAATTTCTGACTGGCTCCTCATTTCAGAGGCTCTTGTACTTGGTGGTCACTCTTGTACTTGGTGGTCTCAGTGTTTCAATGAGACCTTTCTCTCTGGTGTCCACAGAGGCTTTCTAGGATGGCTGCCTGTTTCCTTCTGTCCCCAGCAGAAGGTTTCTTTGTCTCTTTCTTTGTTCTTCTGTTTGTTCCTTTTCTAGTGGGATCTAGGTCCTATGATGGCAGTCCATCTTCTTCAGGCATCTTTTCTTTCTAGTTGGTCTCTCGCTCTCATTGCCTTGGGCTGGGGAACACAGGTCTCAATAGGCTGCCTTTGAGTATCTGTGAAACTCTAAGGTGAAGCATGTGCAAAAAAATCATCCAAATTGGACCCTGAGCTCCACAATGCTAGGTTTATGGTGTGCCAACTATAGATTGCCTAGGACATTAGAACATTTGGATCTAGATTAATGTTTATTTACCAGATTTTCTTTGAAGCTGGGTATAAGGACTAGCTCTTTAGAAATCTCTACCTTTTCCTGCTTTGCTTGTTTGATACTGCTTAATAAACATTTTTGTGTATTTCTTCTCAATTTTACCTGCTCGTTTATTGAATATCTCACTGACATTAAACATTTCCTAACTGACAAATGCAAACACTTATGCTTATTTTTATGAAGATTCACTTGAGATACAATCTCCAGAAGTGGTTTTGCATTGTAAAAGCTGGTATCACCTGTAAGGAATAAATGCCTACATGTAAAACCAGAATAGAGAAAAATGCAATGTTTGAAAAATGAATTTCCGTAAGTACACAAGTTATAATGACCCATAAAATACAGTTCTTTGCACACCGGCATGTGTAAACTCTTCATTCAGTTTCAAATAACTTTTAAATCATTTTATGGCCCACCCTCTCCTGCAATAAATATATTCCAATTTTTATTTCACACAGATGAAAATCTCTTGCAAAAGTCAAGGTTTCATGGTTCAGCCATGTTGGGACAGCTCGGTGCTAAAAATAGCCATGGTTCATGTTCTACAGGTTCATGGTTGAGAGGTGTGTTCCCAGGCTGAGATCCTAGTCAGCTTGAGTAGCCGCCAGGGTTTCTGAGCCCACAACCAGTCAAAGCAGAACCTTCCAGTTGATTCCTCTTATAAAGATATGTATCTGTGGTCAGAGATGACTCAGTCTAGTGGCTGAGGGGTGTGGAACAGCCTGGGAGCCTCGGGGTGCTGGGATTACTGCTCTTTTGGACAGGTCAATTGCTGTCCTTTTTCACTGACACAATAAAGCACTTTTTTGGGTTTTGTTTTAAAATACCCCAATGTAACATCAGAGGAAGGTTTTTTGTTTGTTTGTTTGTTTTTGCCAGCATTGAGCAGGCTTTTTGAGTTTTAAAAACCATATAGCTTTCTTTAATTTGAATAAGCCATGGTCAATGTCTCAGGGTCATTTCTAACCTGATTCTGTAGCTCAGTTATTCATACTTTGGCATGGAGCCCACACCCACTGATTTTCCCTCAGCACCTTTCTTCAGCAGTCCTGTGTGAGCCATAAAGCTCTTCTGGTTATTTTCTATGTGGAGTGTTATGGTTCCCCCAATTTTTCTTCTCAGAAGCTTCCCATACAAAGGAGTCTGGTCCCAGGTTGGATCCTCCAGCAGCAGATGCTCATTCAGGGACTAAGAAGAAGGATGTACATTATGGGTCAAGATCTTCAGAGAGAAGCAGGATTGGCCAAGAGGAGAAGTTGAATTGCAATGCTGGCCAAACCTCCTATGGAAGCTCTGGAGTATATTTATCCCATCAGAGTTGTCCCATGGTGGGCTGAAATGGCCAGGCCTTTATGTCCTTGCTGCAATCAGTCACTGGCTGTGGTCCACAGTTGGAAGGGCTTGGCCTTGGCTGAGGATGGCCCCGGCAGCTGAATCAAACCTTGAAGCAGCTCAGCTGGCAACTAGAGGCTGTTTGCTGATAGTATTTGGAACAGCTGGGACAGCAGTTCATTCCTTGAAGGTAGATCTGTGCATCAGATCTCTATATCCACACCAAGTTAATCTGGATCACAGGGTGTGCTGTAAGTATCCTATGCTTTCTCTAAATAGATCTATGACCTTGAATAATGATCCAATGATTCTTTTGGAATGAGGCTTAGTGAGAAGGAGGAGACAGTTCTGTGCCTTGTGGGATGTTTAACAGCATCCCTGGCCTCTACTCACTTGATGCCAGTAGCAGTTGTCCCTCCCACAAGTTGTGACAACCAAAAATGTCTCCAGATATTGCCACATGATCCCTGGGAGACAATATTGTCCCTGGTTGAGAACCACTGTGTTACATGGACAAAGGCAAAAGTCAAATTTTGCTTTCATAATTTAAATTAGCTCATATAATTTAGCAAACGAGGAGAAAAAAACTTTTTATAATATAAAGAATCATTCACAGCTCTAGTGCCAAAGGAATAATCGCAGTAGTCAGGAAAAAAAAGGAATTCTGTACTTAGGGGTGGAGGTTACTAGACATTAAACACCTTTTTCTGTAAATTGAATGCTACATTTTTATTCTCCCCAAGTGTTTTGCAAATTTGCTAGGGTCTTGTTTTTCTTCTCTTTTTTTCTCTTTTGCTTATGGATGTGAGGTCGTGGCTTTCATCTTTTCCTTTGATTCTCTGACCTGGCTTTGGTACATCATGTGACCCAAGAAGTAATATTCTGGGTGAGGATATTGGGTGGCGGTGATTTCTAGCTAGTCTAGTTAACCGTAACTGTGAAAGAAAAAAATAAGCTCAACAACTTAAAATAAGATACTTTTATTTCTAGCTTTTTGCTCATCTCTAGATGTGGATGACTTTAACTTATGTCTAGGTATATTAGTCCATTTTCATGCTGTTGATAAAGACAAACCCAATACTGGGAAGAAAAGAGGTTTAATTGAACTTACAGTTCCACTTGAGTGGGGAGGACTCAGAATCATGGCAGGAGGTGAAAGACACTTCTTACGTGGTGGTGGCAAAACAAAAATGAGGAATAAGCAAAAGCAGAAACCCCTGATAAACCCATCAGATCTCATGAGACTTATTCAATATCACAAGAATAGCACAGGAAAGACCAGTCTCCATGATTCAATTATCTTCCCCTGGGTTTCTCCCACAACATGTAGGAATTCTGGGAGATACAGTTCAAGTTGAGATTTTGGTGGGGACACAGAGCCAAACCAGAACATTCCA